AAAGTCGGGGGGGCTGAGTTAGCCTGGGAGGAGTGGGGTGGGGAGGGGGTGACCAACTTTGTTCCGGTTTTAGCGCTGGAAGTCCTGTGTCCCCAAAACCCGGTTGGACCCTGGCAGAGTGGACAGCTGGTCCGGAGCCGTCCTGGCAGGGAACTGGCTTTCTACGCGAGCAGCATGGTTTGCATAACACACGAGCTGCTCAGGGTGCTGATGTGGGAGAGGCCGATGAACCAGCCGCTCAGGGAGGAACATGGAAGAACACAGAAGAACACGGAAGAACACGGGTATTCAGGGCTGCAGCCTGGGAGGCCGGCGTGGAGGTGGCTCCTCCACAAAGTGGAGATGGTGAGGGTGATGGCCTGGGGGGTGGGGGTGAGGGAGAGGAAGGGCCACAGAAGACGGCCACCGTCTGGCTTGGGGACTGGGGGTGGGGTGTCCAACGAAGAGTTGAGGCACCCAGCTGGTGTTGCTCAGTGGTTGAGCTTTGACCTATGAATCAGGTTGGATGCCAAATCCCATATGGTGTGGCCACCTGGCCAGGGGCGGGGAGCTGTATCTGGTGCGGCAAAGCCTGGCTCTGTGCAGGGGGGTTCTTCAGCTGAGGACTCAGCCACCTGCTGGCTTTCGAGGAGGCAGGTCATCGCCTGGGAAGGGTGGGATGCAAAGGTGGGAGGGTGTGTGCAAGAGCATCTGCTGGGTGAGGCGCTGCCATTCAGGCTGAGCAGCGGGAGGGGTGGTGGCCTGGGAGACGCTGGGGGTCTTTGCAACGGCAGAGGACAGCGGTCCCTCTGAGCCTGTCTCCCTGGCTGTGCACTCGACTCCTGGCTAGGCCCATTTCCCAGCTTCCCTTGTAGCTGGGCGCTCATGTGGCCCAGGTAGCTAACGGGAGGTAAGAAGGGTCAGGGGGGACTTCGGGGAAGCGGCCTTCAGAGGCTGAGGCAGGTCTCTCTGCTCCTTCCTCCGCCTTCCAGCTGCACAAATGCAATTGTGAGGGATGGGGCTTGAGCAGCCTCCTGGCCAGGAAGAAGGAGCGGAGGTTGATTGGCAGTGCTCTCACTGTGAGACAGATTTAGCTCAGCGTCCCCATGACGTCATACAGGCCCTCCAGCCCTGGACTGCCTGCCTCCGGGCTTCTCTTATGGACGAGAGAAACTCCTCTCTGATTTTAGGCCACTGTTACCATCTCTCCTGACACCGCAGCTGGACCTCGTCCTACCTGGACATCCATCCTGCTGTGGGTGGAAGAGGGTGGCGGCAGGAGGAGGGCGAGGTGGCAGGAGGAGGGGTCTGGGTTGGCACAAGTCAGAGTGACGACAAGGTTCCGGTTTGGGCTGGGCCCGGGCACTGCTGTGGAGTCAGTCGGAGGGTCTCTGGGAGGCGATGGTGCAGGAATCCGGAGGCTGAGGCGTGGACCCTGACGTCTCCCGGGAGTTGCAGGGTGAGGAAGGGGTGGGGTGGGAGGTGCAGGGCTGAGGAGGGCACGGGGGTCTGGTGGCCTGGCTTGACCCCCAAAAGAGGCAGCCCTGTGATGGGCAAGTGGAAAAGTCATGGTCAGGATGGGACATGGAGCCAGAAGTCCCTGTGGCACCGATGAAAGTGGGGTCCCTGGTGGGGCTGGGCTCAGGGACGGTGGAGCGGCTGGGGCTGTGTCCACAGAAGCTGGTGTGCAGGGAAGTTGGTGCACAAAGGGGCTGTAAGGATGCAGTCGGGGTGGCTGGTGCAGATGGCGAGGAGGCGGGAGAGGCAGATAAAGGAATAAAGGTGCCCTAGCCAGTTTGGCTCAGGGGTTAGGGGGGTGGCCCTCTAACTGGAGGGTCATGGGTTCAATTCAGGTCAAGGGCATGTGCCTGGGTTGCAGGTTTGATCCCAAGTAGGGTGTGTGCAGGAGGCAGCCAATCAGTGATTCTCTCATCATAAATGTTTCTCTCTCAGGGGGCCACTGAGGACCTGGAGGAGGGGGGAGGGCATGGTGGCAGCTGCCACAGGGGTGGGAGCACTTGCTTTTCTCTGCATCTGCTCAGCACCAGGCCAGGGCCGGAGCCTGGCAGCCCTCTCACCCCTCAGCTGGGCACCTCTGTCCCAGGCAGTTGACACCACCAGCTGCTGCACCTCCACACCTCAGAGGCCCCACACAATAGGCGTCTATTTTTGATCCAGTGTGGACTGTCCACTTCATGTTGCTCCAGTGGATTCTCAACGGGGAGGTGGGAGTGGGAGACTAAGAGAAGGGTGGGGAGGGGATGGAGAGATTGGGAGATGGGGGGTCGGGGGGGGGATCAAAGGTGAGAGTGTCAGGCCTGGAAGGAAACTAAATCACTTCTACCCCATCCCACAGGCCAGACTCTGTTCATGGCCCCATCAACTGCAAGGGAGGCTGGGAGATGGCATCTAGCAGATGGCCAGCAGGGAGCGGGACACATACCTTCTCTCCGACGTGCCCCCTCCTACGTGGCCCCACGGCCGGGGTCCTGATGGGGGATGGGAGGACGGTGCCGTGTCGAGGTTGGCGTGGCTCCGTGTAGCCCCCGTGAGATGTCCTGGCCTGAGCCCCTGGCAAAAGCAAGACCCACTGGGCTGAGTGGGGGAAGATGAGTGTGAGGCTGTCCCCTTCCCGGCTTTAGTGCAAACAGCCTCATGTGACACCCCCACCCCCCGCCCCCATCAGGGCCTCTGGCTGTTCCCTTCCCGCCCCTGGTTCTACTGTGGGCTGCATGCTGCTCCCCGAGGCGGGACTGTGCCCGTCACCTGCGGCTCCTCTGCGCCTGGCTGGGCCGGTGATCATCTGGTTGCGCAGCAAACGGCTGGATGAAGGAAAGGAGGAAAGAAGGAAAGGGACAGAGGAGGGGAAGGGCCTCAGGCAGCACACATGGACAGGCCAGCCCCTCCCGCGGACACCCTGTTGGCAGGGGAGCTCATTACATGCTGGGTTCATGATTTTTGGCTTTGCCTGGGAATGATTTTTTTTCTTTATTCGTGTTTTTAAGTTTTTGGGTTTTTTAAAATCCTCACCTGAGGATATTTTCCCATTAGTTTTTAGAGAGAGTGGAAGGGAGGGAAGAAGGGGAGAGAGAGAGACAGAGAAACATCGATGTGAGAGGGACACCATCCATCGTTGCCTCCCACATATGCCCTGACCCAGGCCGGGGACTGAGCCTGCAACCAGTACCTGCTCTTGACCAAGAATCAAGCCCGTGACCTTTCAGTCTGCGGGCCGACACTCTAACCACTGAGCCAAATCGGCTAGGGCTGTTTTTAAGTTTTAACCGAATTCATGTACTTTGGGCAGGAAATGCGTTATGCGGTATAAAAGGGCCGAGAGCGGCGGTTCTCAACCTGTGGGGTCTCGGCCCCTTTGGGGGTTGAACGACCCTTTCACAGGGGTCGCCTAAGACCATCGGAAAACACATATATAATTACACATTGTTTTTGTGATTCATCACTATGCTGTAATTATGTTCCATTTGTATCAATGAAATTGGGGGTCACCACTACATGAGGAGCTGTATTAAAGGGTCGCACGCGGCATTAGGAAGGTTGAGAACCACTGGTCTAGAGTGAAAAACAGCCCTTCTACCCCGCCCTCACCTGGCTTTCTTCCCCAGGAGAACTGGGGTTCCTGGACTCTAGAGAAGCTTCCAGAAATACATGCTGGCCAGTTTTCTCATCTGGGTGGTGGCTGTGTGATCGCCCTCTCTGGCAGCCAGAAGGCCTTGCGGAGGGGCTGGGGGAGGACCTGGCCTGTTTTGCAGCCTGCTCCCTGTGGTCAGGCATCGCTAGCCCTCAGGACACACCCGCAGGACCCGTGAGCCCTTCCTTTCACCCAGGAGGGCAGGGCCGCTGAGCTCCCAGCGGGTGAATCCATCTTCCCGGCCACACTGCCCGAGGGGTCAGGCCTCACTCTCTCCAGCTCTTTCATTCGCTTTCTTGTGTCTGTGCAGACAGATGTGTGCTGGCCTGCCCCC